ATATATGTATAGATATAACTATACAGCCCTTGTTCTCACCACATGACCAATTCCCTAATTCTATAGAGAGAACGGTGTTTTTCATGAAGACATTTAAATCTTTCTCTCCATAAGAACATCATGTAAATTTTATTAAATACTGTCAGTGTGTTTCCAAACATTGTAGAATGAGCTTCTCTAGAGACCTCATTAAAAAAAGGTAGGCTCTATACTTATCTTTATCATATGATTATAGCTGGTTTTGGCTACAGTACTTCTCAAAATAGCCCAGAAATGTTACGGTGGATTGTAGATTCATTGTTAGCTAACTTGAACTGATACTATAATAATCTCTATTTTTTAAACTCCTGGTATGAATATTTTATTTATAACATTGACTATTAAAGGGTCACAAGAGCTATTAAGTTAATAATTATGGAAGTTATTTTCTTCTGTTTGCTCTGATAAGCATGCTTCAGTATTCTGTGGGTATTTTTTTCCTTATAATGTCAAGAGGTAGTGTAATGAGGAAGGTTATTTGAGGATCTTTTAGTTTTCCAAAACAGACTGGTAAAATTAGAGGAAGTCAGCTCAATATTACCCTATAAACTCTGGAGCCCTAGTGTGTAAGCTGAACGAGTTAGTCTTGAAAGGGTTGGCTCTCCAGAACTGACTAAGGGCTTCCCTGAAAATCATAGGTGGTAGGAGAAAAACGCAAAAGAACTTCTTCACAAAGATGTAAAAACTTGAGAATATATGAAGTTCATTTAATTAAACTATATAAAATATAGATCTCATGTATGGCATTCAGGAAAAAAATTCCTATCTTTAGTACTTTTTAATAAAGATTTTATTTATTTATTTGACAGACAGAGATCACAAGTAGGCAGAGAGACAGGCAGAGAGAAGGCGGGGGTGGGAAGCAGGCTCCCTGCTAAGCAGACAGCCCGATGTGGGGCTCGATCCCAGGCCCCTGAGATCATGACCTGAGCTGAAGGCAGAGGCTTAACCCACTGAGCCACCCAGGTGCCCTTAATATTCACACTTTTAATGGAAATTATGATTAAATTAAGAGAATAAAAGAAACACCTATCAGATAATTAGTACTATATCCTTTCCAAACATGGTCTTCATTAATACAATATTTAATTTCATATAAACATATTTAAGTAAATGAATCTAGTAATAAACCTTAATTTGAAGGAGGGAAATTTCTAGAGAAATTTCTTTAATCTTTTGTTTTAATGTGAAGTGTAATTTTCCACATAGAAATTATACTTTTAGTTGTATACAGATGCCAATGTAAATGGAAACACCAAAGTATCCATATTTGCCACTAATTTTGTACACATTTGCCACTAATTTTGTATAATTATGGCCTGAACAATGATTTCTCCTCAGATCTCTTATGATAGTTTGGAGACTTTACCTGTTGAGAGAAGTCAACCACATTCTTTGCTCCTTAATTCCTAACTTTAATTCATTTATGGTCAATCAGTAGCTATTTTAAGTGATTTATATTCAAGAAAGATATATTTGTAGAATATTTTCTGAGCTTATATATATCTGAAGTTATCTTTCTTTGGCCTTTGCACTTGAAAAAAAAATACTTGGCTCACAAATAATTTTTCTTTAAAAAAATCTGTATAGGGATGGCTGAGTGGCTCAGTTGGTTAAGTGGCTATCTTCGGCTCAGGTCATGATCCCGGGGTCCTGGGATTGAGCCCTGTGCTGGGGGGAGTCCCTGCTCAGCAGGGAGCCTGCTTCTCCCTCTCCGTCTCCGTCTCCCAGCTTGTGCTCTCACTCTCTCTCTTCAAATAAATAAATAAAATCTTAAAAAAAATCTGTATATAATGCTTTCATTATTTTCTGGCATTAATTAATTGGTTAACAAATCCTAATGAATAATTAACAGGATTAATTTATTTTTCATACCTGAGAATCTCATTTTTATGCAGAGGTGTTCCTAAGATTGTTTATATTCTGTATAATAATAAAATGTGCAGCAGTATACATATGTCTTTCTTGATTTTTACCTGGAAATTATTAGGCTTGATCTCAATTATTTACCCTTTATATCTATTATCTTTTTACCCATAATTGTCATCTTCATGCTTTTTATATCTCCTACTGCAGGAGGTTCATGGGACTCACTTTGGGACAAATGAAAATTTTACATGCAAAGTACTTTGTAGAGATCCAGGTACACAGATAGCAGTGGCTGACAGCTAGCGTTATCACGCCAGGCCTAGAGGTGCTCCCAGGATATGGCCTTGTATATGGATTCCTGCCTTGATAGTAGGTCCAGTTCCCAAAGAATTTTAGAACAGGAGCCCACCAGGTTCGGCTCTTGCCTAGGGATCAGCACACAGTCTTGAGGAGGGGCTCTCATACCAGTGACAGACTGTCCTGACCCTTGCAGCCTATATAGTCAGCCTCTACTGAGTTTCTTACGACTTTGGGGACAACCTCACATCTCATTTTAGATTCTCCAGGAAGTGAGGACTCCCTACGGCTGTTACCTGTGTCAGTACCCCCACATCTCAGTTTGGTACGTGTAGTTCCTGGCAGAGTATCTGGCTGACCTGCTCTCCTGTTGCAGTTAAAACACCGAGGCCTGATTATAAGGTAAGATTTTCAATTCTGAACACATATGAAGCACATTAACTTAAGCATCACACATGGTGATGGCTTTACAAGATCGAGTCCCTCATTAGTGAAGTCTACTTGTACGTTCCTTTACAAAAATTGGACACTATTCCCCCCTTTCTAGTTACCACTCAAATTGCTTTATCACTGGTTATCAATACTGATTTCTCATGAAAACCAGAAGTGAGTTAACACAAATACTAGATTTAGCACGTACTGCAGTTGCTGCAATGCCAGGATGATTCTAGTAACAATGCATTAAATCAAAGTCTCATCACTTTAAATGAAGGGGACTAGAAGCAGAGTAAAATAATCAATCTCAGTGTCCTTCCATCCACTATAAAAGAGGAATATGGAGAAAGTTAACATTAACTGAGCACCTATATGTGTTAGAAACGGTGTGTGACACAGTTCATACATATTATATTAAATAAGTTTGTCCTGTTCCATTGTACAATTACATTCATATTCCTATGTGTATCAACTTAACATTATTGCAAAGCGTAGTAAGCAGAGCTTCTTACATGAACTGTATAGATGCAATAATTTATGGTGCTTTGAATATTCCGTTTTGCACTAATCTTCACATTTGTTCTAACACATAAAATTATCAGCCATCTAGCACTACACATCTTCTGTAGTCTGCTGGTCACACTTGCTCTAGAAACAACCACCACAGAGGCCAATTTTACTCAATTGTTCTAGGTTCAGCTATCTTATAAGAAGTGATAGATCCTTTGTTCCGTTTTTGTGGGCCCTTCTAAAACTACTCTGATGACTACAACAATGCAGTTTTTATTGTCTTCTATTACATTAGTTTGCTATGGCTTCCAGGACAAAGTACCATAAACTAGATGGCTTTTAATCTCCTCAGAGAACTGGAGGCCACAAGTTCTAGATCAGGTTATCAGTGCAATTGGTTTCTCCTGTGGACCTCTCTCTTTTGCTTGTGAATGACCATTTTTTCCCTGTGTCCTCCATGGTCTTACTTTGATGCCTGTGTCCTGATCAATTCTTCTTATAAAAACAACATCCATATTAGGTTAGGGACCACTTTAATTATCTCAATCACATCTTTAGAGCTCCTGTATCTCCAAATGTCACGATCTCAGATACTGGGATTAGAGCTTCAACATACGAATGGGGAGGGGGACACAACTCAGCCCCTAACACCGTTACATTGAAGGAAATAATGCATCTTTCCCTACTCCTAGATGGAAACTATAAGTTTTTTTGCTTACTTGTCCAGGACCCCTAGGAATTCAGTTCAGAAATTAGAATGATCTGTTTAACATTAGTAATCGAAATTCTGAAAGGAATGTAATCCCAAATCTCCTTTGCTTGAAATTGGATGTGCTTTAGGCTGGAAGCCTGCAGTGGGATAGGGCTTGGTGAACTTCTCTATTTTACCATCTTGAGAACTTCTTTTCTTTCTTATCTGTTTTGCCCACTCCCATATTCCTGAAGGCTGCTAACTGGGTTTTGATTCCCCCAGGGTCATAAAAGCCTCTGTAAGACTAAACTGTCTCTTGATAACTCCTTCCCGATCTCTGGCATGGCAGAGATTTCAAGCTCCTTCTCCTGGGAGCATTTATGGTTCTTGGGAGATTCTCATTACTAAGCACCTCTCACTGCATGCTATGAAGATGACAATGCGTGTTTTGTAAGTGGGCCACTTCTTACGACTTGAGCAACTTGGGGAGGCGAGCTGACTCAGGCGGTAGAGTCACTTCAGTTGTCACAGGCCAGCTTTACGATGTGTGAGTCAAGTTACAGCCTGCCACATTCCCCAAGAGCACCAAGCACACAGCAAACAAGTGCTTAAAATGGTGTTCTGTGTAATTTGCAGGGCCTAGTGCCAAATGCAAATGCAGGATTTACTGTTCAAAAATTAAGGCTTTCCAATTGTAGGGCTCTGCTTGAGGGCATGGGTTGCACAGCCAGGAAGGTACCCCTGCCTTGAGTCCTCCTCAGTAAGGTTTGTCCTTGGAAACTAGAATCCCACCCCCTCTTCTCTAGAGGGAGGGCAACTGCTCTTTTCATAGAAAACCCGAATCTCGTGATACCTCCTGTTATGGGTTGAATTGTGTCCCCCAAAAGAAATGCTGAAGTCCTTCACCTCTAAGCACCTCAGAATGTGAATGTATTTGGAAGTAAGGTCATTGCAGATGGGATTAGGTAAGTGATGAGGAGATCATACTGGAGAGGGTGGAGGCCTAACCCGAAATGGCTGGTGTCCTTAGGAGAAGACAGAGATGGAGACATACACAGAAAAAAAATGCCTCCGTCAGAGCAATGCATCATCACAGGCCATGGGGATTGCAGGCGAACACCACAAGTTAAAGGCAGCAACAAATGCTTCTCCCTTACAGGTTTTGGAAGAAATAAGCCCCTCCTGACACTGTGATTTCTGACTGTAGCCTCAAGTACTGAGACACAATGAACTTCTATTGCTCACGCCAAATGGTTTGTGCAAGTTTGTTATGACGCCCTAAGGAACTTACATGCCTCCTTTGATTCTGTATGATGGTTGAAGGGTCTAAAAGTCATGGAAGTAGTTTCCAAAGTGTCTGCAAATTCTGCATAGAGAAGTCTGATTTTAGATTTCACATCTATTTTATCTTGCTGTCTGGGCTGAAATTTTAACATTCAGTTATGATTTCCAAAAGCATCAATCATTTTTACAACCATTTTTCTATTGAAATGTATCCTCATAAGGTGGTTCTTGACTTTGATGAAGTGAATTACCTGCTTTTTTTTTTTAAGATTTTATTTATTTATTTGACAGAGATCACAAGTAGGCAGAGAAGCAGGAAGAGAAAGAGAGAGGGGGAAGCAGGCTCCCCGCTGAGCAGAGAGCCCGATGCGGGGCTCGATTCCAGGACCCTGAGATCATGACCTGAGCCAAAGGCAGAGGCTTTAACCCACTGAGCCACCCAGGCGCCCCGAATTACCTGCTTTTATTGTAGACTTTACAGGGACCAGATTAATTTCTGTCTCTGAACTGATGTACTCAAATGAGTTTACGAACAATTCCTAACATATAAAAGGTGACAGCCAATTTCAGTCTCAGTTCTTTACAATCTTAACATTTTTTTCAGAGAATGTAAGCATTTTCATTACTTCACATACGCATGTGGTTTGTTCTGGATTTTTCACTTTGGGGAGTATGTTCAAAGGCATTTATGTTCACCCCTTTGAAAAATCTGAAATTTGAAAAACTGCAAGCAAATTTTGCTCAGATTTGTAGCATAAGCAGCTGCTGGCAAAACTGTCGAAGCAAAGCAAGATGCAGAGCTGGTTCACTTGTTCTGTGAAGAGGCTCAGGAACCAAACGCCCTCTGCTGGCTCTGCATTGCTATAGGGGTTCTTCCATCTTAACAGGAAGAAATACCTTGCAATACACACTAATTTTCATATATTTACATTACGCTCATATATATCCTATGTGTGTTTAAAAGGCTCGTAAGTGCGTTTGATTCAGCTTTATTATAGAGGTGGTGATTTTTCTAGATGAATTTATGAATTTATAAAGCACTTCTGTTGAGTTCTTCCTATTTAGTGTAAAAGTTCAGTTTGAAGGGGCTCTGTCACTATATGTCAACTGCTTCGCTTTCTCTTTGAAGAATCTTAAACCAATGGAGTTACAGGATTCACATACTTGGCCAGAGCCACTTAGTGACTAAAGTTTCTCTGGACCCCAAACTCATTGGTTATTTTTCTTTCACTTGACTACACTGCCTCTTACATCCTATCACTTCGTTGCTTTGGAACTTTGGGCCCTCTAGCAGATTGCTTTAGGTAACTGAAGTGCAGTCAGTTTGAGAACTCTGTTAACAAGAATCCAGAAGGATAAATTATTTTAAAAAGCTCTCACATACATTCTAATAGTTTTCTCCCTCCCTCATTCTGTAAAAATGGCCCAGGTAAATTTATATTGAAAAAATAAGAAAAATTGTTTAACAACAAAAATTAGACCTTCAGCAATGTGATTTTTATCTCAGAATGTTCTGACTGTATGTCATCCCATCGTGAAATTAGTATGAGGAATGCGTAGATGGAGCTGAGTTCATCAATGGAGCTGCCAAGGAAAGAGACTTCTGCTCCCATGTAGGATGTTTTTCTGCCTTAACTGATTTCAGGCTTCACCTCTGGCCTGTCAGCTCAGTGGTCTAGGTAGAAGCAGGTAAGTAGGTAGCTTCTATGTGGTCTTGATTTATGTGCCTAGATGGTATCTATGGTCTTTTACAGATTTAATGCTCTCAAACTCTATTGCTAAAAGTAGGATGTGGGGGGTGCCTGGGTGGCCTACTCAGTTGGGCATCTGCCTTGGCTCAGGTCATAGTCTCAGGGTCCTGGGATGGAGCCCCGTCTGCTTCTCCCTCTCTCTCTGCGCCTCCTTCCTGCTTGTGCTCTCTTTCTCTCTTTCATATAAATAAACAAAATCTCAAAAAAAAAAAAAAAAGGGATGTGGGTGTGCATCTCATGTTTAGTATTTTCATCCTGTCCTCAACATCGTCCAGGATGCATTAACTCTTTCTCTTTTTACTTTGATATAACTGTATATTACAACTTTACATTTCTGAATTGGTGATCAGCAAGTTACCTCATCTTTCCATCCCTGACTGGGTATGTTCTGCTCTCATCACAAGAACTATCCTAATTCCACTTTGCCCAGAAAAAGACTACTACCCAACCTGAAGTTCTAGTACATTTTTCACTTTCTTCTTGTATCACTTTAACTACTCTCACCTACTTATTTGCATTGTATTGCAGGCATGGCATCAGTTGTGCATATCTTTTTAAATTTAATTAAATTTAATTAATTTATTTATTTTTAAAGATTTGTTTATTTATTTGATGGGGGGATGGGGAAGTGAGAGCGTACAAGCACGGGAAAGGGCAGAGGGAGAGGGAGAAGGGACTCCCCACTGAGCAGGAAGACTGATGTGGGGCTTGATCCCAGGACCCTGAGATCATGACCTGAGCTGAAGGCAGACACTTAAGGCTGAGCCACCAGGCATCCTACTTTACTCTGTCTTGAAGGGTTTTCAAGGGAGTCTATAATTCAAGATATCTAATACATAAACATTATGTTCCAGCTATTCACATTTAACTATTGTAGTACTAAAGAATATAAATTGCAAATTTAAGCCCAATTGTATATCTCACTGGATACACTTGAACGTGAAGATGTTGTTCTTTATGTGACTGTGGCAGAATTCTCAGATGGCCCCAAGATTCCTATCCAATATACATGCCCTTCATAAACACCCTCCCCTTGAGTGTGGGTGAGACTACCACAACAGGAAAGTCACTCCATAATTACTTTATGTTACATAAGACCTAGAATTAGCCAACTTAAAGTGTGAGATTTTCCTACTGGCCTTGAAGACACACACAGTCTTGTTTTAGAGGGGGCCAGCATAGGAAGGGAACTAATAGCTTCCCCACTGGTGGGAGGAGGAACTGGCAGAGAGCCAGAAAAACAAAACAAAACAAAACAAAAAAAACACAAAAAGCCATGCACCATAACACAAAATTATTGGAGCTCAGTCCTCCAACTGCAAGATACTAAAATCTGCTGATAACCAGGAACCTCGGACTCTGACCCTCCAGTGAGGTCTCAACTCTGGCCAACACCTTGATTTTAATTCTGTGAGATCCCAAGCAGAGAACCAGCCATGCTTTGCCTGAATTAGACCCACAGAACTGTGAGATTAGTAATTTTGTGTTGTCATAAGCCACTAAAGTTGTAGTATCTTGCTATACAACGGCAGAAAACGGATACAGTGAGTGACCATCAGGAAAAAGGAAATACATACAAAAATTACAATTATTCTTACCATGTGGAGTATCTTCTCCCGTGCTATGACCCTATCATTTATTCATTCAATCGATCATCCATCTATTTATTCAACACATACTTTTGAGCATGTTAAATGCTTCAGACCTTATCTGAACCATACAGGCTCTTCATGAAACTGAATTCAAGACACCAACACCTAATAGGGTGCCAACATTTTTCTAAAAGTTTCCTCCACTCTTCCAAACCGCCTTGAACTTTGTTCTCCATGTTCTCATTGTAATGATTTTCTGGATTATTTTCCTCTTGATGGTATTCTCTGCTATATTTCCTCTGATCATATCATTCCTTAAATATTTATTTTCTGAAGAATTTGCCCTCACACGTATTGACTGTAAGGAAAGTCAAAGGGATTATTGGATGGGATAATTTCCTTCAGTCATAGGCAATTTAATATCTACTTTCCCTCGATCACTACCTCATTGGTTGGTACCATGGAGCACCAAGATAATTGGTCTTTGAGGTTCTTATTGATTTATGCCTGCAAATGTAAAGTAGACATAGCAGCAATAACATATATCATTCATGTGACATCTATATAAGCTAGTATATTTGTTTTAGTGTTTTATCAGCCACAAATTCATGGTGAAAGAATTTGTGCCATCCTTTATGAATATAATTTTACTGGTATTTTGGTAAAATTTCCTCTTTTTTTTTTTTTTCCTAAATATTTATTTGTCAGAAAGAGAGCAAGAGTGACAGAGTGAGAGAGCACAAGCAGGGGGAGCAGCAGGCAGTAGGAGAAGCAGGCTACCCACTAAGCAGGGAGCCTGATGCGGGACTCAATCCCAGGACTCTGGATCATGACCTGAGCCTAAGGCAGACGCTTCACTGACTGAGCCACCCAGGCATCCCGTAAAATTTCCTGTCTTAAAAGGTATTCCTTATATCATTAGATACTTCTAGGAAGTCTGGTATATGGCATATATAACTAGATAAAAATTATTAAATATATAAAAAAACCTCTAAAGGCGAATTATAATGTCCTGGATGGCACAAAGATATACTTACTGTGAATCAGTTACAACTGCCTCTGATCTGTAAAGGTAAACTACTCTTTAGGTTATATTAGACATAATTAAAAAAAATTAAACTCCAGATTATTATAACATTTGCACTGGATGCAAATAAAACTAAACTTTTCTAGGTGGCTTCAAGCTTAAAGTAGTCCTTTTATTTTAAGATTTTATTTATTTATTTGACAGATAGATCACAAGTAGGCAGAGAGGCAGGCGGAGAGAAGAAGGGAAGCAGGCTCCCTGCTGAGCAGAGAGCCAGATGCGGGGCTCAATCCCAGGACCCTGGGATCATGACCTGAGCCAAAGGCAGAGGCTTTAACCCACTGAGCCATGCAGGCGCCCCTTAAAGTAGTCCTTTTGATTTATGGCATTCATCATGGCTGCAAACAAAGGCCAGGCTCTACTGAGTTTGCAACTGAAACAAAGATTCAAGTGCAAGTAGTCTGGCCATTCGATGATCTCAGAAAAGACTAGTAGGTGAACAGGGAAGGAAAAAGAACTAACAGAGGGTACATTACAGATTAATTATGCTGTGGGTAACTGGAGTTTAAACCTTTAGGGATCTCTGGTGGAGAACAAGCAGTCCCATGGAAAAGTGAAGAAGCTGGGATAACATATGCCATATGCCCTCCATTGGCTTGAGGTGTGTTTCCAGGTAGAATTAACTCCCCAGGAATAACTAGGTGGGCAAAGTGGCCTCTGGCAGTGAAAGACTACTCTGACAGATGCTCAGGCAAAGGGACAGAGGTTCTGTCTGGATTTGGATGCTATGATGCAAGCAAATGGAAGGAGAGAAAGTACACACCATTTGGGGAGTACCTGCTGTGAGGATGGAAGTCATTTTAAGTATATTGTTTATGGAGATATGATAGACCACATATCATATGTTATAGATTTTTTAGTGATCTTTCAAGCTAAGCATTGTATTTCCTCCTCTACAAACGAGGAACAGGGTGCATGAAAAGATCAAACAGATTCCCCCACTTCACTCAGTTTATGGGAACCTGTCTTTGAAATACAGTCTATCAGCCCCCAAATCCCATGCTCTTCCACACACTTAACATCTGCTTCTTGGATATTTAAAGAATTAAACTCTGGACTATTCAGATTTCACTGTTTTTCCCTAAAGTGTCCATCTGATCCCATGTTCATATTTTTCCAGGATCTCATCTGATACCACATTACATTTAGCCATCAGGTCTCCTTAGCTTACTCTGACCAATGCTCAGACTGTCATCTTTTTGATGACTTTGATAGTTCTGAGGAACACTGTTTAGGTATTTTACAGACTGTCCCTCTGTGTGGGATTGTCTAATGTTTATCTTGTGGTTAGAATGTTTTTGAGACAATGACCATGAAGGTGAAGGACCATTCTCATCACATCATATCAGAAGTGTAGGGTGCCAACATGACTCACGATGCAGAGCCCTGGTCACTTACCCAAGGGAGAATCGGCCCTGTTTCTCCACCATGAAGTTATAACCCCACCACCAGCTTTCATGTTTTACTGTTTGAAAGCAAGTCAATAAGCAGAGTCCACATGCAAGGTGGGCAACAGAGTTAAATTCTACTTTCTGAAAGGGGGATTATCGACCTAAATTACTTGGAATTCTTCTTTACAGGAGATCTTAGAAATCAATTTTAACATGTCTCTAAAAACTTGAGTCTAAAATTGGGACCATATCTTTATATTAGATTGGTCTGTAACACACTAAGACTTGTGTAATAAATCTCGTTTGGGCCATTTGTTTCACTGGCAAGATGAAGACAAGTTCTCTTTAATAGATGGAATTATAATGTGACCACTTTTGCCACATAGAAGTGGCATTTGCTCTTAGCCATGTGTAAGACATGGATTGAACACTGGCCCCTGAGAGCTTTAAAGACCACTTTGATCATTCCTTGATGTTGCAATGAGCATAAAATGTGCTTCTGAATTTGTCAGGTTTATTTTATTTTATATTTTTGCAGAAGGAGTGTCTCTTAAAAAAATTCTGCATTTCCCCACCAGATGCACATGTTTTACTTCTTTTAAATATAAAGAGCATCCCCATATCTATTTAGAGAGTTAGCAGCTAGAAAGTTGGAGTAGGAATATACCTATCTGGTAGGTTTTCATTAGAAGACTAAGGTCTTTTATTAAAAACTGGAATGGACGCTAGGCTGTTTCTATGGTAACTTACTGAAGCCTTTTTTTTTTTCTTTAATGGAAAGGTATCAGTTCTGTATATACTACATGTGGCTCCTTGCTCTCTATTGGATCAAGTCCTTTGATAAAAGAATAAAAGAAATGAACTGAAAGAAAGT